GTTGACCACGTTTTTTCATCTCTCTGAGCTTTAGTTTTCTCTTCTGTAAAATGGTCAATAATTCTTTCCTTAATGACCTATTAAGAGGACTCACTGAGAAAAATATTTAAAAAGGACTCCCCATAAAGCCTGGCACATAGTAGGCCCTGAGTGAATATTCAACCCTTCCCTCCTGGGCTTCCAGAGATGCAGGGCAGAGATGGGCTGCCCAATGAGTGCCCCACCTCCCTCCCTACACTGCCCAGGGCTTGGACCCCATGATTTCTTGGTGCCTTCCAGATTTTCTTCCCCTTCACTAGTTTTCCCCTTCCTTGGTTTTCTAGACTGGGTTTTCACGCCTCGTGTGTTGGGAGCATCCTAGAATCCTCTGGGAAGAGCCTATCACCCAGGAATAAGGTGTTACTGATCTGGATCCCAGAAGATTCCAGAATATGGCCCTGATACCACCTAGTGGCCATGTCCCTAAAGAAATAATACTATCCAGACCCAAACCGAGGAAGCCAGCAGGTCACCATATGGGCAGAGTCCTAGGCCCGGCTCCAATAGGAGGCAGAAGAACCAGACCCTGAGCTGTCCTGGGGCATAAGGCTTAATGGCAGGGGTGCAGTGAGCTTTATCTTAACCTTAACACCCATGCACAGAGAACAAAAGGAGCCTAAGGCCCAGGGGTTTAGTAACACGTCCAAGGGCATGCAGCAAGGATTTGCACATTTGCCCTGGGTTGGGTAACTAATTAGGCCATGTTCCTAACCCACCAACCTCCTCTGTGGAAGGGTTGGAGTTGAAGAGGATTAAGGGATGCTTTCTCTGGCTTTTTCTCCTTTCTCTCTGCACACATGGTCTTCTCTCTGAGCTTCCTGTACCCATGAGGAGAGGTTGACCCCAGCCTAGGGTGAGGGGGGGATGGGCCAGGCCCAGGGAATATTCTCCCCCAAGTCAGATGAGGAGACTGGAGGAAAAAGTGATGCCACCTACCAGAGCTGGGCTGGTTCCTAGGAATCTTTTTTCCCTTGATTGAACAGAAGAACTGAGGCTCAGAGAAGGGCAGGGACCTGTGAGCCTCAACAGATCCAAGAAGCCAGAAGGTCTACCAGACTTCTTGCCTCTCCTCACCTGGCAGATACACATCTGAGGCCTCAAGTCCTTAATCATAGCTTTCTTCTACTCAATTACTTGCCTTTTCCCACTATTCAACCTTCCTGGCCCTTCAAACTCCTTGACTGATATTCCTGATCCCTCTGAGGCTCTGCAGTGGCCTCCTACTTGTCTTGTGCTCCTAATCTCCACCCCTCTCTGTACTCTGGAGAGATCTGAATGCCTCTGTATGGATTCCCACTACCCCCTGCCCCAGCCTTTTCCTTCCTTTCCAGCCCCATCCCTCCCTCCATCCCTTCACAGCCCCTCCTCTCTGGCCCAGATGGTGAGGCAGCATTTCAACAGGTGCTGGTTTTGTAGGCAGATTCCAATCTTGAGTGTGAGTTTTACCAGCTGTGTGGCATTGGGTATGTTGCTTAACTTCTCTGGGCCTCTAGCTCCTCATATGTAGTAATACTTGCTTCATGATTCGGGGGTGAGGATTAAATTGCATAAAATCCTTAGCACAGTGTGTAGCACATTAATAAACATTCAATAAATATTAGCTGCCAGTATTAGTATTAATATTAGTATCAGAAGAGGAAGGGGAGAGGAAGGAAGGGGGCAGGAGGAAGTTTAGAGCTGTTAAAATGAGAGCCCTTGGGATGCTCAGAGCAAGCAGAGGAAGAAATCAGAACATTTCTATTTATTTTATTCTTTCCCACTGGAATGAATATTTTTTATTTGTCATAATTTGTTGTAAGCATTAAATAATATTAAATCCAGGGTGGGTCATAGCAGGATACATGCAAACATCACCAAGAGCGTGCTTTTGTGGGCCATAAGTGTCTTAGTGTGCTAAAATAGAGCAGATATTACTCGATATATTTTTTAAGCTGAAGTGCTTCCAAGTTTGGTAATCCCAATTCTGTTATTTCTTGAGAATGTTTTAATAACAAGAACATGAAGAGATAAACAGTGCTGGTTCCCTAACATTAAAGTTTCAGGAATGTGGTTATTGCTTTCCAGAAGAGACCATGAGAATGACCTCATTTCTGACAAAGGAAAAGTTAAACTCCTGCCTTTAGTCTGCCTGATGAACCCAACAAAAACAGCAAAGGAGAATATAATTGACAACTTTGTCTTAATTGAAGCTGATGCTCCCATGTTGTTTCATAATGATGGTACTCTGTGACTTTTTCAAAGGAGTTAGCTCAAGCAGGAATTTTTTAAAGTATACGGAGAACTCATCCAGTGCTAAGCCTGTTCTACATCCTCACAATAATCTTCTGAAGAAATGAATTTCCCCATTAAATAAATGAGGAAATTGAGTTTTCTGTAAGTGAAACTGCTTGTCTAAATTCACATAGCTAGTGAGCATGGAAACTTTCAATGCCCTCTAGTCAAAGACCACCAGGAACAGTTCTGTGGTTGGACAGGTTGGGTTTATTACTTGTTATCACAAAGCAGGGGATGCAAACCATGAGGAAGGATGGAGCATCTTGGTACAGAGGGTTAGAAAGGACATTTAGGATTTGGGCTTGTGTTAAATAATTTGGAGGAGGGCGTATGTTCAACAGGAGAACACCAAGGCCTACCTGTGAGTGCCAGGCCAGCTCCCGGATACCAGGGACTGCTTTTATTTTTCTCAGAGCCTGAACCCAGATCCAGGTTTGTGTGGCTGGAAACATTTCCCATGTTACTCCCTGTTCATAGAAACCTGAAAGAAGACAAGCAGATGAGGAGTTTCATCTATGAGTTTATTTCATCTACTACCTTCACCACCTACTCAGACTCAACCTCTACTACAGTCTCTGGGATAAATGTAGACAGTTAATAAACATTTGTTGAATGAAAATGTCAAAAACTCCAGGGAACAACTGCGTGGGTGCAAATTGCATCTCCACCACCTAACAGGATGTGATTTGGAAATTTTTAAAAATATTTTATTTATTATTTATTTGTCAGAGAGAGAGAGAGCACAAGCAGGGGGAGCAGCAAGCAGAGGGAGAAGCAGGCTCCCCAGTGAACAAGGAGCCGATGCGGGACTCGATATCAGCACCCTGGGATCACCACCCAAGCCAAAGGCAGACACTTAACCAACTGAGCCACCCAGGCGTCCCTGGAAATTTTTAATTAAATGATAAAATTGTGTAAACTTCAAAAAGTTTTCCTTTACCCATTTGTAAAATGGAGATAACCACAAAAACCATTCAAAGGACTGCCGTGAGGGTCAAATGAACTGTTGTGAGGAGCGTGCTTAGTTAAGCTCAGCAAATATTAGTTAGCTATTATAATTTTCAGGATAAGTAGTCTGTTAGTTTTGTGATCACATGTTCAATATTTTTCCTACTAGGTGTGAAAGCAAAGATCTTGTCTTGTCTCTTATCACCAGTCCCTAGCACAAACAAATATTTGATAGATAAATAAGCAAATTGGCTAAAACCCAGGAACTCCCCCCATTTGGGGGATAAATTTTAGTAACTTAAATAACAGTTGCAAAAAGTATGTAAGGAACTCCCATGTACCCTTTACCTAGATTCACTACTTTTTTATATTTTGCCTCATTTGCTTAATCATGCCCCTTTCATACACACACACACACACACACACACACACGCATGCATTTTTCTCTGAGTAATCCGAAATTAAGTTGGAGACGTTGTGCCCTTTTGCCCCTAAGTACTTCAGTGAATATTTCCTAAGAACAAGGACATTCTCTTAACATAGCCGCAATATAGTGATCAAATTTAGAAAATTTAACATTGATACAATAGGCATTAAGAGCTAGTTCACAATCAATATTCAAATTAGTCACTTGTCCCAATATTGTACATTATACCTTTTCCGCTTCCTATCCTCCCCTCCTGAATCCAATTCAGAATCACACACCACATTTTGTTGTCATGCCTCTAATCTCTTTTAAACCGGGATAGTTCCTCAGCCTTTCTCTGTCTTTCATAATACCAAAAGTTATTTTGTAGAGTGCCCTTGATTTGGGTTTATTTCATGCTTCCTTGTGAGATTTGGGTTACACATTTTTGACAGAAATAATCACAGAAGAGGTGTTGTGTCCTCAGTGCATCTTATTGGAAGGAACATGATCTTTACTTGACCTATAATTGGTAACATTAACTTTGATAACTTTGATTCACTTGTTCTTCGAGGTTATACCTCTGTAAAATTACCATTTTCCTTTTGTAATCAGTAAGTAATTTATGGGAGACACTTTTAATGTGTAATTACCCTGTTCCTCTGGTTTTACCATTCATTATTGATTTTCTAACTCCATGAATTTTGTTAGTTGGCATTCTACTAAAAGGAGGGGTTTTCCCTTCTCCCTATCTATTTACTCTCTTATTTATATCAGTAGACTCATGGGTTACCGTTTTATGCCATTAGTTACATTCTGTCACTATCATTATATATTTTGACGCTCAAACTGCCCCGATTTGACCAATGGTATCTCCTTCAAGTTAGCTCCTGTGTCTTAACATGTTCTCATCATTCTGATTCCCATCATCCTTACATTCTGATGCAACAAGATGTTCCAAGCTTTTTTTTTTTTAAGATTGTATTTATTTATTTGGCAGAGAGAGACAGCGAGAGCAGGAACACAAGCAGGTGGAGAGGGCGAGGAAGAAGCAGGCCTCCCACGGAGCAGGGAGCCCGATGTGAGGCTCGATCCCAGAACCCCGGGATCATGACCTGAGCTGAAGGCAGACGCCCAACGTCTGAGCAACCCAGACGCCCCGGCTTATCTGGTACTTTCAAAGCTGCCAGAAAGCCCGTCTCTCCGCTTCCTGCCCTCAGGCGGAACCTTAGAGCCCTTCACCTGGGCGGGAGAACGGCGCAACGGACCAACCTTTTCCGGTTGTGGCCGGAAGTCCTCCGAAAGGGGCGGCTTTGTGTCAGGTGACCGGAGTCTGCGTAGGAGGGATCGCCGGTCTTACCCGACAGCCTGAAGGGACGGAGTGGCAGGGCACCGGACGGACGGATAAGCTGGGGTGGCTTCAGCGGCGTTAGCTGAACAGAGGCAGGTACATGAGCGGCTCGGGTGGTAGCTTAGGGGCTGTCAAGGTTGAGGGACGCGGGCAGGGTTTCTGCTTTAACCCGGCCCACAGGCTTAGACACCTGGCCCAGCGGCGCAGAGACAACAACCCCGGCTCTGCCCGGGACCCTCCGCCCCAGAAGAGAGGTCCCTCTGGCGTTGTGGTCTTCTGTCCTGTGATTACAGTTTTGGGAAACTGCGGCCCCGAGAAGGGAAAAGGCTCCCACGAGCTCTCGTTTCCGGGCAGGGACTCACTCTAACTCTTGTTTCTGTCCCCGGCTCGAGACCGCCTCTCTCAGGTGGATGTGCTTTAAATAATTTTGCCTCGGGTGGAGAGGCCGGGGTCAGAAAGCGTGGTCAACAGAGTTGGGCTTGGGAGTGAGAGAGCCGAGAGACTTCGCCGCTTACAGCCAGTTGTGCGTTATTGGCCCAGTCCATTCCCTTTGTTGAGCCTCAGTTTCCTCGTTTGTAAAACAGGGCAGCGTTCCTCAAAATACGGTTCTTACACTGGCCTGTTTTGAAATGTCCCGGGATGCATGTTTTACAGTGCAGGACTCAAATAAGACCTCTGATTTAGAATCTGGGTCGGAACCTGGGAACGTTTTGAACATAGACCTCGGGGGTCCTGTACATACTGATGTTTGAAGCCCACTGATTTGAAGTGCTTTCCTGCTGTGAGTACTAGATACCCATTCTTTGCTTTGCAGCAGCTGGAGCCGGTTCCGGATCTTTGAAAGAATTGGGATGTTTAGGCCAGAAAAGAGAACAGTAGAAGGAAACTGGCCTTAAAAACGGAAAAAAAAAATTGTTATGGTGAAGAGTGCTTCACTTTTATCTTTGGGGTTGAAAGTGGCAGAACTAGGACCAATAGGCGGATTCTATTGACTTAATAGAAGAACTTAATGCTGATCAGAGGTGACCAGCAATGGAGTGGATTGCCTCCAAAAGTAATGAACTCCCTGGTATTAGGTGGAAGTCCTTTCCAACTTGAAATGTCTGATTCTGAGTAACTATTTTCAGTCTTTCTGGTGCTGATTGACTTCTTTTTTCTGACCTCTTTTCCTAACACCTCCATCCCCCCCAGCCTACATTTCCTAGAAGTAAGGCAGTGGATATGAAATAGTGTAATCTGTTCCTGGTTGTCCTGTGCACCATCCTTTTTTTCAGGGACTTAGGAATGGCCCGTCTGATAAGGGCTCCTTAAATGTTTGTTGAATAACTAAGGAGGTACCCCACCCCATTGGTTTGTAGCTTATGTTTTTAGAATAACTTGGAAATGCAGCTAAAGACTTTGTGTTTGATCAGGAGAAGCCAGTGGACTCTTTGGATCACAGAATTGAGGAGTCTCAGTCAGAAGGGCCCCTCAGGGTTGTTTAGGCCAGCCTTTCCTCCCTGGGACATAAATGCTTCTTTAATCCTCTCTCCAGCAATGTGTTGTATAGCTCTCGTGTCTAATGAGAGAATTTTTGCAATCTGTCAGCTAACTTTTCATCCAGCATTTAAAAACCAGCCCTCTTAGGGACTGCCAGTTCATTCTCCCTAACATACAATCTACAGGTAATGCTTCTAGCATTATCTTTAGTTTTCTTTTCTTTTTAGATTTTATTTATTTGAGAGAGGGAGAGCAGGAGTGGGGGTAGAGGGACAAGCAGACTTCCCCCTGAGCACAGAGCCCTGGGGCTCATCCTAGGACCCTGAGATCATGACCTGAGCTGACTGAGCCATCCATGTGCCCCTAGCTTATCTTTAGTTTTCTAATCAAACGTTGAAGTTCCTAAAAGCAGGTTGCTTTTTCAAAACCTGTAAGAATGTGGGCGCCTGGGTGGCTCAGTTGTTAAGCGTCTGCCTTCAGCTCAGTCCATGGTCCCAGGGTCCTGGGATTGAGTCCCACATTGGGCTCCCTGCTCGGCGGGAGGCCTGCTTCTCCCTCTCCCACTCCCCGCTGCTTGTGTTCCCTCTTTCGCTGTGTCCCTCTGTGTCAAATAAATAAATAAAATCTTCAACAACCACAAAACTTGTAAGAATGCTTACATTGCCCTATGGAGCAAAGATTCCATATTATGACCAAATTCTGCCCACATCCTGTCCCCCTCCCGAAAAATAGATTTTGTTTGAGCCAAGACTTCCTGCTTGTGTTTACCTTCCTGCTTTGTTTGTGTTTCCTAGAACAAACAAAAAAAAATTGTGAAATACTTATTCAGATATTATCCAGGTGCTGGGTAAAATGATTGTAATTTGTTGATGTCTTTAATACTTCTTAATCTGAAATTTTCCTTTTAAAAAAGTACCTGAATCGGCATTTCCGAAGTGTGTTCTTCAGGCCACTACTCTGAAGAGATGCCTCTGAAAAAAGTGTTCCATAGTAAAGATAAGTTTGGAAAATGCTGTATATCATTATCTTTTCTTGGAATTTCTCAGTTCCAATGTACTGGGATGTCCTATAATAAAGAAACATACCTAACCTTGTTTAATCCTAGCGTTGCCAAATTTAATTGATGTGCAGTACTTTTTTTTTAACTGAAGCACACATTGGCAAATTCTTTTATTTATTTATTTATTTTTAAGTAATCTCTACACCCAATCTGGGATGTGAACTCATGACCCTGAGATCAAGAGTCGCATGCTCTTCTGGACTGAGCCACCCTGGTGCCCCTCACATTGGCAGATTCTCATCTGGAGAGTCTGCAGTTCATGGCATGTGGGCCAAATCTGGCTCCATTGCCTGTTTTTGCAGGGCATGTGAGCTAGGGATGGATTTTACATTTTTAAATGGTGGGGAATAAATCCAAAAAAGAATACTGTTTTGTGATCTGTGAAAATTATAGGAAATTTAAAACTATAATAAGTAAGCTTTTATTGGAACACAGCCACACCCATTAATTTACAAATCGTCTTTGGCAGAAGAGTTGATTAGTTGCCCCAAGGACCATATGGTTCACGAAGTCTAAAGTATTTTTTTTTTTTTAAGTCTAAAGTATTTACTGTATGGCATTTTACAGAACTTACCAGCTCCTGGTTTTTTCATGTACATTTTTTAACTCTAACTTTTTTACATTTTTAACATTTTTAAACTTTTGTATAATTTAATTTTGAAATAATTTTAGACTTGCAAAAATAATACACAAACTTCCTGTATACTTTTCACCCAACTTTCCCTAATGTTAACATTTTACATAACCATGTTAAAATTAAGTAAGAAATTTAACATAAATACAATACTACTGACTAATCTATAGACTTTATTCAAATTTAGTCATTTGTCTACTAATGTCCTTTTTCTGTTCCAGGATCCAGCCCAGTTTCCACATTGCATTTAGTTTTCAAGTCTCCTGAGTCTCTAGTGATCTGAGACAGTTCCTCAGTCTTTTTTGTCTTTTGTGACTGTAAACTTTATTTTTTTTAAAGATTTTATTTATTTATTTGAGAGAGAGAGAAGGTATGAGCAGGAGGAGGGGCAGAGGGAGAAGCAGGCTTCCCACTGAGCAGGGAGCCCCATGGGGGGTGGGGGCTCAATCCCAGGACCCTGGGATCATGACATGAGCTGAAGGCAGAGGCTTAACCAACTGAGTCACCCAGGCGCCCCGACTGTAAACTTTTGAAGAGAACTGGCCAATTTTGTAGAATGTCTGTCATTTTTTTTTTTGAAATGGAATTCACCATTTTAAAGAGTACAATTTAGTAGTTTTTAGTATGTTCACAAGGTTGTGTAATCATCACCACTATTTTAATCCCAGAACATTTTCATGTCCCCCAAAAGAAAACCTGTACATGTTAGCAGGCACTCCTTATTCTCCCCTCTTCCATCCCCTGGCAACCACTAATATGGATTCATATAGTATGTGCCCTTTTTACGGTATGTGGCTTTTGTGTCTGGCTTCTTTCATTAAGCATATGAAGGTTCATCCATGTTGTGACCTATATCGGTATTTCATTACGTTTATTGATGAATAATATTTCATTGTATGGTTACACCACATTTTGTTTATCCATTCATCAGTTGATTGACATTTAGGTTGTTTCTGCCCTTTGGTTATTATGACTAATGCTGCTGTGAACATTCATGTACATGTTTCTGTTTGAACATATTTTCAGTCCTCCTAGATGTGTCGCCTTAGGAGTGGAATTGCTGGGTCATATGGCAGCCCAATGTTTAACTTTTTGAAGAACTGCCCAAATGTTTTCCACAGCAGCTGTACCATTTTACATTCCCATTAGCAATATGTGAGGGTTCCATTCTCTCCACATCCTCTTCAACACTTGTTGTTGTCCCTTTTTGTTGTTGTTATTATTATATCCACTCTAGTGGCTGCAAAGTGGCATCTAATTGTAGTTTTTATTTTCATTTCCCTAATGACTGATGATGTTGAACATCTTTTCATGTGCATATTGGCCATCTGTGTGTCTTTGGAGAAATGTCTATTCAAATCCTTTGTCCATTTTGTAATTGAGTTATTTGTTATCATGCAGTTTTGCATGTAAATATTCAGAGAGTTTGCAGATTCCCTGGAGCCCCTTGAAGTAACTCAGAGTGAGCTGAACTGCAAAATCTGAGGCAATGCCAGTAACTCCCTGATCTGAATGGAGTTGGATTTGGACATGCTGAAGTGCAGAGTAATTGTCCCTTTGAAACTGCTGACCATTCAGAGCTTCTCTCAACCCCAGCCACTGCTGATCATGCAGAGCTGGGGTGGCCATGATCAAGTAAAAGGGGTACTACGGTATTATTTGAAATGTGATAAGACCACTAGGAGATCCTGCCATCTGAGAGCTACTCTCATGGTTGTCTGGTCACAAGCAAGGAGTAGAGGAGTCAGGGGTGGTTTGGATTACTCCGGACTTGTGATACTGGACAGCTGTGTGGGGTGGCAAAGCTACCGGTGCACCCATGCCTCTTTTGACCCCAGAGCATTTGGCTATAACCAGACCATCCTGAACATATAATTAAAAAATAAAACAGGGGCGCCTGGATGGCTCAGTTGGGTAAGCATC